TTCTCAACACGTACCATACAGGAACAAGAAATAACCTAATACCCTAAAATAAAAATAAAAAAGAAAACAAGAAAAATAGGAGCATAATAAAAGGAATATTCGCAAATGTAAGATAAAAAAAAATCAAGAAAAAACAATAAAGAAAGAAGAGAGGCACAAAGTATACCGATAATGAGGCGGAAAATGGTAGAGGGCGCAGGTGTAAGTGGTAATGGCCGACTTGCAGCGGCGTCGAGCATGTCAGAAACATGTTTGACTCTAACGATAGCCGCTGGCTTACCACGCTGATAAGGCCTGTCCTCGTTTATGCAGAAAAGAAAGATAAGCCACGGCCGAGGGCGCGCGCGGTCTGTGCAACAGTTCCATTAAAAGAACCTAGAGCGACAACGTGCTGCGCGGTGGTGGGGGTACAGCGGCCGGCGGAGTGGGGGACACTGGCCGGCGGAGTGGGGCTGCAGTGACCGGCAGAGTGGGGAGCGGAATCGACGTGCATGCACATGCACTAGCAAGTGGTGGGGGATGACGTTGGGCTTTCGAGCATAATTTGCTGTTTACCCTGGGCGAAATAGAATTTTAACGAGCAAAAAGCTGGCGAATGATCGATACTCTGGTAGGAAGATCGTTTTCTTGGAATTGGGGGTAGTCTGGGGGCGGGGAGAACATTTGTGGAATGAATTTTGTCGGTGAACTGCGTTGTTGGTAATTCTGCTTGATGGAAGTTAAGTGATTAAGTTCGCTCGTTTTGTGTTGATTTTTTAACGATGTTGCTTTAACATCGTGTTGTACGACTTCGTTTGGTTATAGAGTGGAAATTGGAGTCGCAGTAATTTTTGCGATCCAGCTTAAAGCGACTGGATAAATTATTATGTGGGTTTTACTGAAGGTTATATGAAAAGTTTGCTGAAAGAAATTTCAAGATAGTGCATTGAATACAATAGAAAAAGAAAATGGACAGGAAAATGATTCAAAGAACAATTAAGGAACAATGTTATGTATCTATAAACACTGATTAAAAAATAAGAAAATATAAAATATAAATGAAATTAATAAATAATAATGTCAGAATAATAAAATAAAATCAGTAATAACTCATAAAATTAAAATGTAATTAAATATGTAACTGCGTTAAACGATATAAAAGAAGAAATACAATAAATTTAGAATTTTAGTAATACCGATAGAATATCAAGTAAACATTCTCATATTCTTAAAATCACAATTAGAAAAATAAGTAAAAATGAAACGAAGTACTGAACAGTGTTCCAACGAAACCAACAAGAAACATAAAAGCCTTCCAGCCAAATTAAAAAATAGAACACACAAATCCCCATTAAACAACTTTAACGTAAATTCAAGAAAAAAGTTCAAGTCACAATTCAATTAATACCAATAAGAAAGAAGTACAGTGAACCCAAAATGAGCTATACTAAACAACATTAAACAACAGTCAAGAGAAAATGTAAAAAGTCTTGGAACTAGCAAAAATAAACTCACCTTGAAAAGTATTAAACAAACCAATTTAAAAAATAATATTAAAATACCACTAAAAAAAAATATTTAAATAAAAATAGGAAAAAGTACATAGAATTACATTGTAATAAAATAAAAGAATTAAAAGAATTTCCGAATTATCATATATTAAATCATATAAAAGAAAGTAAATAAAATAATCGAAATAAAAATCAAAAAAAGGTCTCACAGTGACAAAATTTGTATAATAAAATAACTATTAAATCTAAAATAGCGGCGAATTTATTCAAAATAAATAACGAGTGGTCTATTAAAATGATCGCGGAAAACGTCCCCTTGCCAACCGGAAAACCGCCGGCCTCGCGACTTCTTTGTGCACCGCGCGAGGAAAGGTGCAGGACTCCATGGAAAATTCTTTCTGGAAACTGTTTACGCGCCTTTGAGGAGCTACAAATTGAAAGCGAAATAGGGTCGGATTTTCGTGCGTCGCGTGCCTCCATTTTTCTCCTCCGCCAGACACTTTAAGGCCGTCCACCCCCGACAACCCTTATACGTGTGCACACGTGTGCGCGCAACGATGGTGTCTCGTACAATCTCTCGCTATTTTCGCGTCGTACGAACGACGTAGAATCAGTGTTTAAGTAAGTGAAATTCTTCTATCCGTGGGGGAATTTTCACCGCGAATTATCTGTCAATTTTCAAGCAATTGTTTTCATTCCTTTACTTCGAGGGGTGGAATAATGTGGTAGCTTGTTTAGTTGTCTTTCGAGGAAATATATTGGATAAATCCGGAAATATTAAATTTAGAAAAATGAGAATTTTTGGTAGTTGGTAGCAATTGCCAAAGATTTCACTGGCTCCGTATATTGTAAGGGTGTATCGAGAAATTAATTGTAAAGGATAGTTGATTGCTGTCAGGGAATTTATTAAAAAGATGATAAGAAATATATTGATATATTTTGTTATTATTCCTCATTGAAGAGTAGTTTAATAATTATATAAAATGGTACAAATTTATGGATAAAGTTGTTTCATTTAAAACTTCGATTACTTTATGCGATTAGTTTTAAAACTACAAGTTGTTCCAAAAAATATTTCAAATAGAATTAATGCTGTTCCAGCGAGTGCCTGATAATAAATTTTGTTTATTAAATATTCTAAAGAGCTTTTAACAGGATAAAGGGACTTTGATTTTCTTAAATTAATATTGGAAGTTATGTTAAAATTGATACCGAACCGAATAAAATATTTTAATTATTTATATTTTAAAATAATTTGCTTTCTGAAAACATTATTTGCAATTTATAATATTCTATTCTTTTGCAATATTTTTGACAAAGACAAAGTAATAAAAAAATAAATTTGAGTGTATTTATTATAATAAATTTCGACTTTAGACAATCGAGTTCGAATTTTTTCCTGCATAATTATGTGAATAAAATAATACTAATTATCTCAAATATGAATATTCAATAATGGCTAATTAATAATATAAATTATAAAATTATGAAGTTATTATTAAAGTGGAAAGAATGCTTTGGAATATGTTTTAGATATATTTACGAATTTTGAAGTAGGCTTTGTGAAACCTAAAATTTCGTCTTCAAAACATTGATCCAACGAGAACTGGGATACGTCGTTTCATCCCAGTGGTGCAGAACGATTTTTCGCGGACTACGTGCCCCTGTATGACACCCCTTGGTGACCATCTTGATGATATACAAATACATTCGTCTACACTATCCCCTGGGATACGTCTTATTTTATAGCAGCAGTAACGTAAGAGGGTTGGAACAGTCGAACGAAAGCTGATTTTCCCTGTTAAGATTGTCAACCTAGCCAAGGTTTTTGATATTTGTCGAATAGATATTGTTTATTTACACCACTTTTCATGGAATATATCTCCATTTCATTTTATTAAAAAATACCCAAATGTAAGGGTGAAATGAAATTGTATCTTCTTCTCAGGTTCATGAAATAAATATTTAAAAAACTGAACAGAAATGGGGAAGTAATTAAAAATGAAATGCAATTTTGTTTTTAAAGGGGGATGTAAACAGAATGAAATTGGACAATTATTTTTGTAATATCAATTTTTATGAGAGCGCACGAAATTTTTAATTAATTTATTTCTATTAGCTAGTAACTATTAATTTTATTTTATTTCTTAATATCTTTGTAGATTTTAGAAATTAACTTAAAAGTTGAATAATATATGATTTGATTTTTTTCTGAAGATTGTATATGTTTGCATCAAAAATACTTATTAGGCATGCAAACGCGAATAAAATAGCTTACTCTTTAAAAATTGTGCGCCCCCAAAAATATATACTTATTGGACCATATATCAAACTGACAATAGCATCCCCTCTTGTATCAATTTCTATCAAAAGGGATCAGTAAGATCCGTCCACTATAACCTAACAACCAAACAAAAAATAAAATCGTTTTCTAAGATTATCACATGTTACTGTCATCCCTTATAGCATTACTAAGCTATAAAATCCTCCCTTCCTTTTATCCCCCAAAAGATTTCCAATATAAATTTATCTCCTGCCTTCCAATTTTTCATTTTCTTCTGAAATTTTTGACAACAGGATGCTTAATTTTAACTTTAAAAGAATTTCTGAATTTCAGAGGCTGCACCCTTGAAAAAATTTTAAGTTTATTCTATTTCATTTCAATATAAATTGATAAAAAAAAATATTTAATTGTAAATTATTAGATTTATTACAATATTTAAAGTGTCTATCTAATTTTAATTTTACTCTCCGATTTTCCAGAGTTATAATTATAAGAATTATCTTTCTAAACCTCAATGAGCTGTCGATGACAGAAATTTACCTTGCTTTTCATAAAAATTATAAATTTCTAAATATTTCTTTTTCGACTATGAATAAATCTGTAATATTTCCTTTCAATATTAAAAGAAAAATTCAGGTGTGCTGCAATTTTGATTTTCTTAACATCTCGACACTTTTCAACTCTGTAATTATGCACTTCAATCCTTAAAAACTAAAAATTCGTTTCATTTGATGTCCTAAAAATTAGGGGTATCAAACTCTCTCTTTCCATTCCAATTTTTCAATACCTAACTAAAATAATACCTAGCTGAAATAAAAATGATTAATAACGAATTATTTGTTCACTAAAATTCCTTTCTCTGGACTTACAAGAGAGTGTACTAACACTAAAATTTTCCTTATCAATTCGCAGGAACTTCATATAACTAGAATTTCTCATTGCCAATCCTCAAAACAAACATCTAACGCGAAGATCTAGATTCGTTCCTTTCAACCCCTTGGAACAGTATCAACGCGGAAACTCGAGTATTTTCGCGTTACAAACGGAACGTAATGCAGTAAGTTGTCAAACTGCTGAAGCGCGAGTAACATATAGTGAGACGTTAATTAATAAGGATGTCTTGAGCTTGGCGTACTGCGTTCGAGGGATAAGAAACACAGGGGTGGGTTTGGCGCGGGCCACGTGGCGTACGTGGGGGGCGCAGGGTACAGTGCTTTATGGCTTACCATCGTCAGGGACGCGCCTGTCCCACGAGCGTACTGGAATTCCGGGACACTCACCTGCAATCAGAAAGAAGAACAATTAAGTAACGATATTTTAACATTTAAATAAATTTAAAAAAAAACTTTATACAATTACAGAAAATTTGAAAAAATTGTGTGTACAGTGATGTAGATTCCAGTATAATTAAAGTATACAAATATTAATGTCTAACATACATTTTAAACATATATGTATAATAATTTCTTCAATGTGGTAAAATTACAAAAATTTGTACATTTTAGTGAAATAATATATTATAAGTGTTATTGTGCAATAATATACATTTCAGTGCAATAAATTTCTGCAATGTTTACACATTTAACAAAGTATTTTGACATAATAAAATTCTACAAATTTATATATCTATAATAATATATATTCAAATGTAATTGAATTAGGCATTTTCATATACAGAATAACATGTATTTTAAAGTACTAAAATTCTAAATTTTTATGTATACAATAATGTGTATATTTATGTATTATAATTCCAAAATATTTATTTAATAATATTTTTATATTATTATGATATATTTATATTCAATTTGAAGTCACTTTAATGTTTATAAAGTTATAAATATTACACATACAGTAATATGAACTTCTAAATGACAAAATTATAGTATTATTATATTATTAATCATAAATAATAAAATTATAAGTATTGACAATTTCATACCAAGTTAATATTTCTTTATTTATTGTACCATCATTTCCTTCATACACATATGTATAGATAAAAATCATTTTATTTCGTACTTTCATTAAATCTGCAGATTTCAACGACTCAAATTTTCAATATAAAAATAAACGCTTTATTCATGTTTATTCTATTCTATAAAATAAAATAAAAATGGGGAAAATAAATATAAAATAAAATCACGGATAATTCAGGGAGGCGAAGGGAAAGAAAATCGGTTTAAAAACGAAATTATCATAGTTAATAAAAGTATTATTAAACGGTTGTCGACGATATCTATTTACGAACCAGCAGCCGTTTCTTTAGCGTAATCAGCGAACGGGGAGCCGAGCGGCGCGTCCGCAAGTAGTAACGGTCGAGGCATCGTCAGACGCCGGAAATTAATCCACGGGAACGCGTTTACATCGTCGGGACGCTCATTCTGCGAGTGAATGCCGCGTCAGTCGATCAATTTCGCCAAGATATCCCGCGGTCTATTTAACCGAGCAACAACAAAAGCCAACGTGAACAACAGAGTGAACAGAGAATTCCTCAAGAATGCCTCGCAACATCGCGATTGAAAAATTATGTCGTCCCTGGGTTCTGCGTGACAGATAGAAAAAGTATTTTATATGTTACACAAAGTTTGCGCAGTTATAAATATCAACCAAGTTATTATTCACTGATATTAATTACATTTATCATTTGACAATATTTACATAAAAATTTTTTAAGCAAATGAGGGTAGATACCTTTCACGAAAATAATGGAGTTTTATTAACCCCTTGCACCACTATTTAATTATGAAAAATTATACATTGAAGATGTATTTGAGTTTAGTTAACCACTATACATTTATTCCATTGACTATAAAATTAGGTAGAAATTTTAGAAATTCTTCGAGTTTTGTGCTTGTTGAAGTAAGTTAAATACAGTTATAGCTGCGTGATAAATGTAACTTATAATCATGGGATTTAATATTAAGTACATGTGACGAGTTAGACTCGTTATAGTAATGCAAAAGGTTAATAGTATTTATTATTGAAAATATTTTATGAATTTCTGTTGCAATATTCGCTGCTTACGTATGCTGGTTTTGTGAGTTTCATAAATATATGTTTCTTAAAATAATCAAATTATTTTTTGGCGAAGATAAACTAATTTTGGAGAAATTTATAATGTGAATTAATATAAATTTGAGAAAACGCAAGTCAGCATGTAGTATATAATTTATTTACTTCAAAACACACAAGAAAATGGTGAACTTAAGAACACATATTTTTGAAATAATGGTATATAATCTCACAAAATATTTGGAACTAAATCTGGATAATTATGATCATAGGAAAACATTATTAATTACCCCTAAATTTTAATGTAGGGGTATATCTCTAATTGATTATTAAATTCTCTTACGCAAAAATGTTAAATAATTTTATTCATTCAAGTATTCACTTGTAACAAAAGAAAATTGTAAAACAAATATTTTTGTTGTGTAATAGCAAGAAAATAGAGTATGCATGAAAAATTTCAATGTATCTAATTTTTGATGAAAAACAGAAAAATACAAAACCCACAAAGGCTTGCTAAAAATAGTAGAATTTTCGAAAACATTCGATATTTCGTACTTATCGGAAACCTGCGAAAACAGTAGAACTCTATATTGTAACTAAAATTCCGATATCTGCGAAAAATTGAAAAACACATGGACTGTGAAAAAACTACGAAATATCCGACGTGTACAAAAACTGAAAAATATGCAGTATCTGAAAATATAAGACTGCGCGTATATAAAAATCTGCAATATCCGATATATTTGCGAAAAGAAGTCAAAGTTTTAAAGTCAATATTTAAAAACTATAATAAAACAACCAGAGACTGTAAATAAATGGAAAATATTCAACATATGAAAGAATCATATCACCCCAAGACTCACAAAATATTCCGAGATTACAAAATGTTGCAAATACTCAATATTTCCAAAAATTATAAAATATCTAATATTCTCATAAAGAAGTATAGAATATAGAGAAACAGTTGAAAAATACGAAATACGTATAAGAATGTTCTATACACCAAACACGTAAATGAATTATATATCAAACATCCACGAGAAAAGAATCCCAATTCGCTATTTGTAAAAATGTCCCAAAATCTACGAAATACATACTGAATGATTACAAAGAAACAAATGATGCACACATATACCAACATGTAAGTGAATTATATACCAAACATCCATGAGGAAAAAATCCCAAATGATTCGCAATTTGCACAAATATCACAAAAAGAATCCCAAAAGATTCGCCATTGACAAAAGGTCCCAAAATCTACGAAATACATACTAAATAATTACGAAAAAACGAATGGTGCACATATATACCAACATACAAGTGAATTATATACCAAACATTCACGAAGAAAAAATCCCAAATGATTCGCAATTTGCACAAATGTCACAAATAAAAATCCCAAAAGATTCATCATTTGCAAAAATGTAACAAACTTCACGAAATGCAGATTAAATATTTACGAACAAACGAATGACGTATATACCAAACATGTAAATAAATCATATACCAAACATCCACGAAGAAGAAATCCCAAATGATTCGCAATTTGCGAAAATGTCACAAAAAAATTCCAAGAAGATTCGCCATTTGCAAAAAAGTTACAAAATCCAGGAAATACGCATTAAATATTTACGAATGATGTATATACCACACATGTAAATAAATCATATACCAAACATCCACGAAGAAAAAGTCCAAAAGGAATCGCCATTTGCAAACAAAGCATAAATGTTTCAAAATTGTTGAAAAATTCTGCTGCCTTTATATGCATATAAAAGACATCAGCATTGTAATAACCATTCCAAATACTCTATATTGTTTTACAAAGATTAGGTAAATATTCTTTTAATCAACAAAAAGATCACAAAACCCATGAAATTCATATCAAACATTCGCTAAGAATTCGCCAGAAATCACAAAAATCGCAAAACTCTGCTCACCAAGAAAAAAGAATTTTTTTTAAAAAAGTTCGCCTATGAGAAACTGCGAATCGCACTATATATTCGCGAAAAAAATTGCGTAACAGCAGGCAGCCGCGAAACTTCCGCGACACGCACGCTTCCGGCTCGCCTGCACCCAAGAACAGAGGCTGGCGGTTTCATCGCGTCATCCCCGTGGAAATGCAGTTCCTTTTGAAAAGCGAAGCCGCGGGAGGCGGCCTCGTCACGCCACGTCCAATTTGTGCGTGCGTTTTGAAGAGCTGTCACGCGCGACCTGCTTTTCCAGGAAAATTCGCTTATTAGCATCGTTCCCCGTCCTGGGATATAACGTTAACGTTTTAGCCGCTTGCCTCGAGCTCGCCTCTTATTGGTTGTATCGATTCCACGCGACAATTCTCTTTCCCTCCCTTTCCTTCTCCCTCCTCCTTTTTCCCCCTTCTTCGTGGTTTTTCGTCCCTATTTTATTCACTCTCAAAGGGGAGACTCTATTTCGAAGAATTATTGGCGACCATCGAATTTGTTCACGAGTAAATCGTGATTAACTCCACTTTCCGAGTATTTTTCGAATTTTAGTGATAAAGCCATCTTTTTATACTTTGCCAGTTTTTAAATTAAACGTTTTATATTTAAAATAATTTTTCCTAAATAATTTTATTTCTTGCAGTTCGATTTGGCAAGTGAGAGGCTCGATTGTAGATTAGTGGGGAATAATTATCATAATATAGGGAATTGTTATTGGACGTTTCAACGTGTTTCGTGTTTTGGATTAATGAATCATTTTATAAAGTGTTTATTCAGTTGCAGTGATTGAAATCACGTTTCGATACCCTTTTGATAATTATCGTATGGTAGAAGATATTTATTCACTATTTGTTCCCTATTCCAGAATCGTTACTCAAGAGGTTAGTGAACCGATGTTAATTATGGTAATATTAATAATATTAATAATTTGAACTATTATTGGAGACTTTAATAACAATATTAATTTTTTGATAATTCGGAAAAGATTATATTAGAATTGCTATGCAGACACTGATTTGCTTTAGTTCTGCAGATCAGTTACATCCCTACTAGGCACTTAACCTTTCCACTCCTGAGTTATGAACAGAATAGCAAACGGCCTTTCTTGAATTAATTTTACAAATTTTATTTTTGCTTAAAAGTAATAAAAACTTAATCAAAATATAATATTTTATTTGTATAACATTATAAGCGTTCAGAAAGAATTTTCTCAGCTTAGATATGACAGCTTTGAAATCCATGGACCTTGTATCACAGTCCAGCTGTCATATTA